GGATTTTTCTCAATGCAGGGCTCATTGGACAGGAGATAACCACATTTGATTCTGTTGCTTTGAATAATGTTAATCCGGCGTTTAAAAAAAAAAAAAAAAAAAAAAGCAAAGTCCATTATTCACATTCATCGCTTTTCATTTGGCCCCCTCTTCAGATTTTGTAAATATGATTTCTTCAGCCCTTTTCTTTCTTCCCCCCTCCCCAATCCCCACCCTCCAAAGTAATCTTTATTCACCGGTGAAGCACTTTTGAAATTCCTCTATCTGTGAGCAGAAACCATTACCGTACACAGGTTTATAAGAAGTAGTCATTAATGCTCCTTTATGTGGTCCTTTAGCGCCAAAAAGGAAGCTTTTAATTCTAAGGTGTAGCAGCCTGACTTTGCCTTGCTTAATCCGAGGGTTTTTTTTTTTTTTTTAACTAGAACTCCTAGTTTTTCCATTCTTACTCTTCGCTCTAAGCGTAAAATAATTAGATTTTAGATCTCGTGACAGCTTGTTGCAAAAATCAACGAATAAACGACACAGTCAAAATCAAGTTTTGTTGAATGTGTCGCCTTTTTTAGTTTCAAGCTGTTCCAAATTCAATTTTTTTTTGCTTTTCTCAACTCTTTTTGTCAGCACAACGCGTGGCATTTTGATTTATTAAGCAATCTCAAGTATTAAATATGTGAGCTCTTGCCCTTGCACAGCTACTTCTTTATATTGCACGCACAGTAACTTATGGCAATGATGAATTAATTTCACTCAACCACAGAATCAGTGATTATTTCAAATGGTAACCATATCTCGCCTTGATCAGAGAGCTGTGGGGAGTCATCAGAGTGTGAAATGTAATTTCTATTATTATTTTTCCTTTTCTTGTTATTTTGATCTCTCAAACCCCAGCAAGAGATCCCGGCAGCCACCTGAAATGTGAGCTGATAACGAACGCACGTCTGGGATCGCAGGTTTACCGGTCACTTTTTGTTCTTTTTTTTCTTTCTGTTTCTCCTCTTTTTCTTCCTGTCCTGCCTCTGTGATGAAAATATATTTTTTTTTCTGCAACTCACGCATATAGAATGAGCAAACGGAGAGTGTCGTCACACCAAAAGAGCGGGTGTCTCGGAGATGAAACCGGTGTCAGGGCAGCAGTGTGTTAACACTGCATCACGGTAAATTCCTCAGTGTTCTCGGAGCAGACAGCTGCGCTCGCCCCTCTAGATGGATGGTCAGTGTCACGGTGTGTGTTTACGGCACATGATAGAGCAGGAGACAGGTCAGGTAATGAGGCTACATTAAGGGCTTTTAGAGCTCGCAAACAAAGATGGAGCTCCGCTTCTTCTACCCTTTAATGATAGGTGTGTGTGCATGTGTGTGTGTGTGTGTGTGTGTGTGTGTGTGTGTGGGAGTAAAGGCTCAATTTTCACTAAACCTTTGTTGTGTCACCTCTTAAAGGAAAACGATAGAATTTCTCCCAAATTCTGAGCCAAACGCCTTGCCCGCGACGTCTTCTTTGTCGGATTGCTATGGAGCAGATTAGTTTTCAAGATCCAAGAGGAAATATTTGTTGAAGCTAATTTGAGGCTTCACAGTGGACCTCATCAGGACACATCAAAGGCATCAGTGGTTTTTAACAGCAGCAAATTTAGAGAGGAGATCGAGATTTGCACCGATAATGATTTTCATCGCCACTATTGATTTCTTTTGTTGTTTTGGCATCTACTGCAGCTTTTTTGGAAATTAAGGAATTACTATATTACTTATTTTTTTTTATGCATCCAAGCATATATCCCTTTATCTAAGAACTGCATTATATCCTAAAAAAGCATTTATCTCACTTCTTTAGCACACGCAGCTGTAGAATCTGACCGCAGGTTGCACTCAAGTATGTTTTGTAGGATATTGGGCCTTAAAAATCTGTTTTAAATTGTTTCAATGATATACGTGTTACTGCCATGTCTGAGTGGGCGTGGGTAAAATACATCTACAATTAAAAACGGTAAAAAAAAAAAAAATAATTACAAGATTATCTTGATTTACACAAAGCATTTTTCCAGAATATTTGACTATTTTTTTTATATTATTATTTAAAAGCACTATTAAAAGTGAAAATCTAAAGAGAAGCCTTTAATCATGAGACATTCAGTGAAGAATAAAAATAAGACTTTTTTTGTCACAATTTAAGCTCCTTATCATCACCAGTCGGGCTCAATCAATCACCCATTTCCGATCAATTGATTGGTCCATCTCTAGTGACGCCATCCAGCTACCTCAGTCTCAGCCGTCCCTTATATTCTCCCCTCCATAAGAGGGGGGTGTATTCCCAGGTAATATCAGCCCTGGAAATCCCTAGTAAGGCCATGTTGGCAGCTTCAGCCCACACACTCCGTCACGTTTCCTTCACCTGGGGGAGGTTCTGTGGCTCTTTCCAACCCAGTTGGTTCAGTGCAGTCTGAGCTGGGGTCAGGGCCCGTAACCCCCTCAGACACAAACGCAGCTCCACGCCTCACGCAGTCACACCCTCAGGTGCCGGGGATCGTCACTATCTGCCTCTCGTGAGCATTGTGTGACAGTCCCATCACCCCCACAGTCACATCCGCGGCTCGGTTAGCTTGCTCGCTCGCTCGCTCATCGCCGCAGCCCGGCTGTGTTCCTAATTGACATTCTAATTGGCAGATTTGAATGCCGCCTTTTGATGGCTAATTAATTTATCTCACCGCTGTCATTAAGGTTAAAGCACCATCTGATCTCTGCGAATACGTTTTGCATATATCTGCATTATCAGAACGCCGCAGCTAGCCGCAGACGTTTTATTTTGGAGCGAGGAGATAAGATTGTGGAATCTTACACAAAATGTGAATTGTTCTTTTGCTGGGCATTAACTTTTCATATTGGAATAAGTGCATAATAATAATAATAAAAAATCCCAGCAGTGATTTTTTCTTTCTTTCTGGGTTTGCATGCATTCAGATGTTATTAAAAATCCTTATTTCCTCGTCTCATATATCTTCTAAGTTTTTCCGAACATTCCTCGTCGGTCTAGGAAAGAAAGAAAGCACAAAAAAGCGGAGAGATCCGAGCTCCATTAGAATGTTCATAAAATGGTAGTAAAGGCAATCAGACAGTCTTTCTCTGAATATTTTAAACATTGGGCATGTAAAATTTATGCCTAATTTGAATACTTATTAGCTGGCTGATCTCGGCTGCAGCCTTGAGTTTCTTATGCTGAGATTCATCACCGGATTGGATGTCACATTGTGCCAATCCAACACCCCCCTCCACCCTCTCTACCCTGCCACCACCTCCCTTATTTTCCTTCCCACTGTCTCTCTCTCCGTCATCCGCCTATCCCCCCCTTTCTCGCCTCCCCTCACCCTCTCCTTCCTTTTTCTCCTGTCTTTTCTGTCTCTGTCTTTTCTCACCGCGTCTTTCTCCATCAGCAGTAAGCGGCTCGGTGTTAAACAGGGGCCCTGTTTGTTCACAAGCACGCCTTGTCCTGGCCTCTTCCCTTATTTACTTGTGTCCCGGGCAGCTGTCGCCCTGCTCTGTGTAATAGCTCAGCCCCTGTTTGTTCTCCCTCCGTAGATCCTGTTTATCCTGGCTGTGGACATCCTTTAAGGCCTGTCCTGTATCTGCCCCTTGTCAAACACACACACACACACAAGCACACACACATGCAAACACACGAGAGGACGTGTCCGCACTTCTATTAAAATGGTATTTACAGGCCAGAGAATGCACACGGTTGGAAAGCATACACTCAGCTTTTTCTCGTTTCTTTTCTATTTAATAAAAAATTTCCACATTTTTATAAATAGTAGTTTAAAAATTAAAAAAGGTGCTCCGAACGAAGAGATAGTAAAATTGTGTGTTATACTATGTTAAGTGTCTGAGACTTTTCATTTATTGTAAAAATGTCGACTGGTAGTGGAGCTCCTTTCTCTTACGGCAAGTGCACTTAGCATTAAATGTTGGGAATGATTATAAAACATTTATTACTAAAAAGACAGGAGGTTCTATGCATAATTTATGCTGTTTTAGCACAGTTATTAGTGAGATTACGTACTCATTTTGTGGTTTCAGTTTTCCGTACAAATTTAACTTTGAGGGCTTTTTTTTTGTTTTGTTCCTTCTTTTATTTACAGTGATTTTAAAGTTACAGCTGCAGCAGTTTATTATTTATTTAGCTAAATGTCATTCTGAGCAGTGCTGGATTTTAAAATAAATGTCACAGAATAAACAGCTGTGTAAGGTTTGATTAAAGAAAAAAGAAAGGGGGAAAAATGGGCCAATAAATGAAATATGAGCATCCTTTCTCTATGGAAGCCTGCAAGGCAGATTTTATTTAGCGAGAGCAGGGATGACAAACCCATTACAGTGTTCATCACCAGGGCTGCACCATGTGATTTGGTTCCTCCTCTTCCAACTGCCCCCACTCCCAAATTTTAATTTAGCATGATTAGCTTTGCATCATTAGGCTACTTCTTTCAAATTGATCAAAAAGTGTGTTGTAGATGCTGCTTTTTCCTTCTCTCTCTCTCTCTCTCTCTCTTGCTCTCTCTCTCTCTCTCTTTCTCTTTCTCTCTCTTTTATAGATAAAACAGATACTAAGAATTGAGCATATTTTCATAATGAAACTACGTTTTCTAAGTTAAGTTCAGCAGCGATAAAATAAGATGCTTGAATTTTTAGAAATTTTACTGAACATAAACATTTTACATATTTAGAAGCCCTTTCAATTTCTAGAAAAGACCAGGACATGGATGTCTTTGTATTGCTTCATTTACACAATGAATGCATAATTGCTCCTCCTGCAGCACCCCCATACCCCTCCCTCTTCTTTAAATGCTTTAATTTGCAAAGGGGGACCGAGGGCTTGATAATGGACGCGTGCAAAGAAAAGAAAAGAGGAGGAAAAAAAATCGGACAGGGGGGGGAAAAAAGGAAGACAAAAAAAAAGAAAGGGGGGGGAATTGTAACGAGAAGAGCCCTAACCGGTGCCTCTTAATCACTTCTAGGTTTTAAATCATGATGATGCAGGAGTCGGCCACAGAGACAATAAGCAACAGTTCAATGAGTCAAAATGGAATGAGCACCCTAAGCAGCAGCCAATTAGAGGCTGGCAGTAGAGATGGGAGATCAAGCGCTGGTGACACAAGCAGCGAAGTAAGCACAGTCGAGCTGCTGCATCTGCAACAACAGCAGGTAAGTTGTGTTTCTCCCCCGTCTCCTCTCCCGTCTCTCACTCCCACTCTGCTGTGCTCTCCCCCCCTTTCTCAGCTCTGCTTTGCTCTCTCTGCTCAGGCGGCACCGGTCGTTCTGCATATAGGCAGGAAACAAAATGACTTATTATATTGTTTTGTGTGTTTTCTTAGACTATGGAAGGCGGCGGTGTTTATATAACAAGCTGTTTGCGCAGTTGGTAAACTTTCTCTCGTCAGTTTGTTGACGTGTTTTGCTTGTAGATGGCGGAAAGGAATTCTTGTGACTTCTCCAAAGGACTTTATTGTGTTTGCAGTGGAGCTAATGCACATATAGAAGTTGTTTCAGGCCACGTAGCTGAAGGTCTGGAAAGAGTGTGTGCGTGCGTGCGTGTGTGTGTGTGCGCACAGTAGAACGAGAGAGAGAGGGGGAGAGAGAGTGAAAGAATGTGTGCTTGGGTTTTGTACAGTCCAGTTTGGGCAGTGGGGAAGTGTACAATGGGTGTGTATGTCATGGCTGCACTGTATCCACCAGAGGGCCTCCTAACTCGCCACATAAACATGATAAACCCTGTTATGGGACACTTGAAAATCACATTTGCATGCACACTTTTCTGCTACTAGAAGTCATTCGCAATACAACTGACATTTATTTTTGTGACAAATATTTCAAAGTCCGCTTTGGGATTTGTCTTCTCCAAGCTTTGTCCCATCGTACCCGTCTCAGTCTGAGCAAGTTGCGGGGTGAATGAGCCGCAGGGGGTGTGTGTGTGTGTTAGAGGTGGTGGTTGGGGGGCAGGAGTTGTGAAAGTCAGTCGCCAGCAGAGTAAAGGAGTCAAGTGTCTCTCGTGTCTTTTCACGGTGAATGATGGCTTTGACAGTTTGCCAAAAGAGCAATGGGAGATTAGGTCAGAGGGCCATGCTTCGGGTTGGATCGGGTGAGGGGGATAGGAGCGATGCCGCAGGTTTGTAATGATGCGTGCTGTCCTTTTGGCCTGATGAGAGTTTTCATGCAAGCATATTTATGTGCATGCGTGTGTGTGTGTGTGTGTGTGTGTGTGTTTTGAAGGCAGCTGAACCCCCGTGGTCAGATCAGTCAGGAGAGTACAATAGATGCCGATGCGTATGGGTTTGTGTGTGTACATTTGGTATAGCACAATCCTCTTGATCCCTACTGTGGTTATCCATCCACAGCAGAATGCCAGAAATCGTTCTGGTTGTTGGATCATTGCCTCAGTCCTTACTACTTTTACCACACACATCAATGGAAACTCGCAATGCATGCTGCTTCTCAGAACATTCGCATAATAGTTTCTTAGAAAAAAGTTTTATCTTTGACTTTTGTTGGTGTTTGGTCTTATAAATTCTGCAGCGATTGCTTCAATTTCAAAATAGAGAAGGAAAAACGATACCTGGTTGTCTTTGAGGTCCGACTTGAACCAATCAGATCTTTTTTCAAGTGCTGGAAGACATAAGTGTAAAAAGAAAAAAAAAGACAGGCGATTCTGATTTTGGTGTATCCTTAAAAATAGATTTCTAGTGACAATATTTATCAATTTTTGAGCTTACAATGTCTGTTTAAATTGCTTTACTAATGCTGGACATGCATGTGTAATGTTAAAATATTTGTAGGCATTTTTTTGTAACCTTTGAAGTTATAAATGACCAAGTCTGACTGGAAATATAGAAAACATCACACTGAAATTAAATCGTCCTCCTGGAAACAGAAGTGCACTGATCAACATTTTCCTAGCCAAGACCGATTTCTGGTCTTAAGATGAAGATAATACATTTTATGCATTATAATCTTGAAAATATGTCATTTTAAAATCTGAATCTGAAAACTAGACATTGGCAATAGCCAGAAAAAGTGTGACTTTTTTTTTTTTTTTTTTTGCATCAAATCACATTTTTCTAAACTTTGTTTAATTTATTCTAAACTCAATCCCAAATATAGGAACTAATTAATGGTTTATTATTGTGTTTGAATTCCAAATAAGTGGGAGATTACAGCTGTGATGCATGAAATGACCAAGAAAATTATCAGTCTTTTCTGGATTTGACCTTCTGATCACGGATCAGTGATGATCAGGAGCAAACCGGACGATTTCCATCCATGGCCGATGGATTAGTGCGTCTCTGAACGGAAAATGAAAGCAGTGAAATAAAAATAAAAAGGTGGTGCGAGCTTAAAGTGTCCAGTTAAAACTTCGAGATGGACGTCTTGCTTTTGGGTGGGCGGGGTTCGCGGGTGAATGACAGTGCGTGGCTTGTAAAGGGGCCAGCCTGAGTCTTCTCTCAACCCTGAGACAGACACATTGAAATGAGCAGTCCAGCTAACAGGTCTCTGGAGGCTTTTTTAAAACAGGGGCCCTGCGCTGCTAACTTAAAGCACACTTCCTTCGCCGAGTTACACTCTGCAACACTTCGAAGAGAGGCCATATTTTAACAAAGGATAAAAAAAAAGAAACCTTTTTTTTACTTATAAATTATGCTTCCCCTGTCTTAGAAGTGGTGTTTTGCAGTTGTTTTTATGAGAAGAATGTATTTCACACAGATTGCAGGATGGGTTATCTATAAGCAATGCTCCTTTTGTATTTATAATGTAAACATATATATTTGTACATTAAAAAACAGAACCCTATTCACCTTTGCTGTAAGTCCATTTACACATAAGGCTGTTGGGTTTAATTTTCCGCCCATATTTGGAATGACATTGAGTGGTCCAGTGGGTATAGGAGCTTCAGTCTCTCATCACACTGCTGGGGGATGATTAATAATAAGCACTGATGAATTCTCTACTGTCCCTATGGGTTCTGCCATTACCTAGCAGCCCCAAAATACCACCTGCAGCTATAATTAGAAAAGTGGCATCTTAAGGTCTCGTCACCTTAGATTCGGCCAAAGGCTTTTAGAGCACGGAAGATCCACACACAAACTTTGTTTTTACTCAAAACACAAATTAAACTCTCCTGTGCCAAGCACAGGAGATACGTTTTTATTCCATCTAGCATAATGTATATCTTCCTTCCTATTTTAATGCAGATCAACGCCCAGCAGCCTGTTATCCTCCCATCTCGCTAATAACCATCGTCACAATTAAATTTCCGGCCCCTAATTTCTGTCAGGGTTTCATCATCACATCCCCAAGGTTGTCCAAATAGACCTAATTTGATTTGAGATCACAGATTAGATACCTACTGTATCTGATTGCAATTTGCCAGCTGCAGATATGTATCAGAGCCAATGATGAATGTTACACAGCTGTAATTACTATGCAAAACACTCACTGTAAAATCTCTGTTGTAAAAAAAAAAAAAAAAATCTGCTGAGCTCATCTTTACCAATCAATTTGTCATTGGCTGTGTAATCAGTATTGCGATTTAATGCGTAATGCTGGTATGTGTGTACATGCAAGAAATGCATTGATCTTTGAATCCATACCTTAATGTACCATAATGAGCCAGTTAGTTGATTACAGTGGTCTGTAGACTTAATCCTGCCAGGGTTATCAGTGGGATTGATGAGCCAGTGCTCAGGACTACTGCCCCTTCTAAATTGGCTCACTTCCATAGGATGTATATTGATATTTGGAGCATGAGGAAGTCCCGGCTAATCCATTACTGTCATGTTAGTTATTTTAGCCAGACTGCTAGAGCTAAATCGCTGCAAAACAAGCAAGGAATGGTATGAGATTCTTTAGTAAAAATGCCATAATTTCACATTCTGTTACACAATAAAGTTAAAATAATGGCGCACAGCATGGTAACTGTTGTTCTCTGTGTTGTTAAAATAATATGCCATGTTGATTACTGCAGCGATCATAATATCATCTATGCCATATATTTGCTATTTGTAGTTCTAGGCTGGAGTAAACATTCACTGAATATAGTTGTACATTTTTAAGCCAACAAGTTGATAAAAAAAATACAGCAAATATTACACAGAAATGCATAGCTCTGTTCTGCTCTCATAAACGAACAACAAAGAACAAAAATTCAACAGTCGTATTTTCCAAATATGAAGTCTTTGGCAGACAAGTTCAAGTCGAAAGATTTACTGAAATTAACATTATCCCATCTGCCTAAAACAGATGGGTCTAATTTAACATGTGAACATCTAACATTCAATTAACCACTTATAAAAACTATTGGCTGTTGTAAATTATTTAGAAAACAGAGGAGATATGATATTTATCCCACTAAAACATTAGTTTTAATAAATTTGCACCAATTATTGTAATTTTTAAAAAAATAGAAGTGTCTGAAATTGCCTTTACTTTGAAGAACTTGAAGTGTGTTTGCAATTATGCTAAAAGTGAGCGGTAAAGATAATAAGTCTGTTTCATTCTGAAATGAACAGAGTTGAGGTTGAGAGACACAAATGGGACACTTATTATGGCGCTCCAAAAAACATCAACACATTTTTAATATCCCCATGCAGTCAAAGGTTGGTGAACACTCCAGATTATCAAATTAATCATGAATTTGACAGGAAAAAAACAAACAAAAAAAAAAAAACGCGCGTTTGTGTCTGAGCTGCAATTTTGCCTCATTGTAAAATCTCTGCCAAATTTAACACAAAATCAAAACAGACAAATCTGGACGGTGCAGGCAACTCTATTAAAAACCACGTGCTGTCGAAATATTCCAGCTATATTTAGATTGTTGCATTATCATGACGACCAGTCATTTGAATGTGCTCTAATAATTTTGAGAACACAAATTTAATAATTTACTTATGATGCAAACTTACTTGCCTACTTTCTACTCTCATCAAATTAGATACATATTTACTGTTGAAGTCCAAGTTAATACTTTATTTTTGCAACTTAAGTTCTGTTCTGCTCTCTGTAGCAGGCATGAGTTGTATCTCAATAACTCAATAAGTTGATATTAGCTAGTTAATTAGTTGGGTAGCCAGTTTGTTGAGCAGTTGGCTGTTTGTGACTTTATAGAACTAATGCACAATGCTTCTTTAGTTTGCCTTGTGCTAACTGTTTCT